GTTGGCCAAGAGTTAATCTCGGGTTTGGCTGATGGTAGATAGCAGTGGGTGTGGGATTGGAATGGTCCTCAAAGAATCAAGTTGTTTATGTGGAAGGTTTGCCACAAAAAGCTCCTCACTCGAAGTAGGACTGCTCTTTGGGGGACTGGCACTGAATCGTGTCCTATTTGTAGAGAGGAGAGTGAAACCTTGTTACATGCGATTCGGGATTGTCATGAGGCTAAGTCCGTTTGGTCTTATTTTGTGCCTTCGGACAAGTTTGCAAACTTCTTCTTTGGTGATGTTGATCATTGGTTATCGGTTAATATGGACATGGATAAGCATGGGATTACGAATGGTTGGAGGAATTTGTTTTTTGTTATTTGTTGGAAAAATTGGAAGTGGCGTAATGATTTGGTGCATGGCTCGGCTTTTCCTTGCTTAAATGTGAGGAAATGGATTATTTGCAGCTCTGTGAGGGACATTAAAAATGCTTTAGCTAGTGCTCAGGAGAGGCTTCCAGTAAAGTTTTCAATGAAGATGGACATTACTTGGCAATATCCAACATATGGGTCAGTAAAAATTAACATAGGTGGTGCAGCTAAAGGTAATCCTGGCCTAACTGCTTGTGGGGGTTTGATTTGTAATTCTCAAGGGAGATGGCTGGGGGGTTTTGCTTACAAATTGGGGGTTTGCTCTTCTTTTAAGGCTGAGCTCTGGGGTGTTCTTCGTGGTTTGGAGCTAGCTTGGAACGAAGGATTTCGTAATATAATCATTGAGAGTGATTCATCTAGTGTGATCACTGTGCTCACCAAGTCTGGTGTAGCAGTCCGTGAGTGTCATTTGATTGCTCATATACGGACATGGATCAATAGGAGTTAGTCAGTTACTTTGATGCATACTTATAGAGAAGGAAACGTCTGTGCTGATTGGTTGGCGAATTTTATTCTGGATTCGGATAATTCCATTACTTATCAGTTTTGGAGGGATCCTCCTCCTGGCATTCTTCATCTTCTCCGTGGTGACTTTACTGGTGTCAGTAGGTCCAGGGAAGTGAGGTGTAGGATTTAGTTTTGGTTTTAGTTGTCTTTGTTGTTCTTTTGGCTTAGGCCTTCTGTTTACCAAAATAAAAATAAAAAATTGGAAGAGGTGTTTAAAAGGTGCACATGATGCAGGTCCCATGACAAAAAAGAACTTAACTACCTCCACTCATTGATAAAAGGCATTGAAACCATATGATTAAAGGGAATTGGACGATTGTGATTAAAGATGGAAGAAAAACATGAAAAGGGTATAAAAAGAGGATAAGACAGGAAATAGGGGAGTTAGACTTCCCACACTTTCAAAAGTTTAGAATTCACACACTTTCCATCTTCCTTCACCATTCTCCTCCTCAATTTTATTCATTTGGATCTGAGAACATAACGAGAATTTGCATGCGTGAAACTGGATTTGAAGCAACAAAGTGGTGAATTCATGCTAGGAAATTGCAAGATCACATTTGGATGAACCTTGTCTCCATTTAATTTTCCTTTTTCTCATCTGTATTTTGCTGTTATTCTATATCTATAATTGAAGCTTTAAGGTATTGTTTGTGTATTTTAGTAAGTGTCACTATATACTTCTTATACTTTGTTAATTTGGTTATTAAGCACAACATGAGCCAAACTTAGCTTTCGATCATGATATGATGAAATGTTTTGAGTTCAAAGAACAATTACTGAACTGTTGTAGAACTGATCTTGATTTGTTTATTGCAAAGAGAGAGATTTATTTTAGTTGATATTTGGCCAATGTTAACTAAATAATTAGGATATTATTAAATCTGAAAAATCATTAAATCGTAAGGGTAATTACAATCCCGATTAGGAATAGTTGTGACCCTCAGTAGTGTTTGGTTGAAGGTTTATTTTGGGATTGATGGAAAAGTGTAAGTGGATATTCAAAAAATACCACGTTTGGTTCAGGTTTTTTCAAAAAATACTAGGCAAATAGAATAGATGAGAAAATGACTTTTGTGTTGATTTTTGGATGAAATTCACTATTACAGAATACCACTTGAGATGTGGTATTTTGAGATAACTGAGAAAGTGAAAAAACAGGTACAAAGTTTCTACCAAACATAGATTTTGCATATTTAAAGAAATTTTCTTGGTAATATTTCGGTCAACCAAACAACTTTTTTTACATTTTTCTACCAAACTCACTTTCCAACCATTTCCCTATTAATTACATTTCTCTAGTAAAAAAAATTTCTCCTGAACCAAATACTACCTCATAGCAAAAAAAACCTCTGTTTTGAAAGGACGCATGAACTAAGGTAACATAGGGATCTGCAATCTTAGATCCAAGCAAAGCACTATGATGAGAAATGCTAATGTGTCGTCGTAGGTTTGGTTAACCGAGTAATTTTCTATAGCAACTCCTCTTTGTAACGCTTGGCAACTTTCAGGACCAATGTTTGTTCCTACACATTAACACAAGACTTTTCAATGTACTTTGTTTTCACTCACACACTTCCTGAGAAACTTTCTAAGAGGTCATCTATCACAGAATTGCTCCAAGTCAGGCATGCTTAACTATGGAGTTATTCAGTTACGGGCTACCAAAAGTATATGCATCTTGTTAGTATATGTAATACCTATTAATTCATATAAGCCATCATCAACTGTACAGTCCCATACCTATACAGTCTCAGGATCCTTCTCGTTCGGGTGTTGATTCGATTTATTCATTTACCCCTCCCGCTGGAACATTGTACGTTAGCTCTTCCACTAATTATACATTCGATTGCACATTAGCTCTTCCATTAACCATGCAATCGTCAGCGTTCGGGATGTTACATGCCCACTAGCTTCTGCTTGATTTGTCATCGAACCACACCATAATTGGGAAGAGGCCCTGCTCTGATACCAATTGTAACGCCCAACAACTTTCAGGATCAACGATTGTTCTCACATACTAACACAAGAGTTTTCAGTGTGCTTTGTCGTCACTGACACACTTCCTGAGAAACTTCCCAAAAAGTCACACATACCAGAATTGCTCCAAGTCAAGCTCATTTAACTATGAAGTTCTTTCGTTATGGGCTATCAAAAAGTATATGCATCTTGTTAGTATAGGTATCACCTATTAATTCTTATAAGTCATCCTCAATTATAAGTCTCATACTTGCACAATCTCTGGATCCCTCTCGTTCGGGTGTTGTTTCGATTTATTTATATACCCCTCCCGCTGGAACATTGTATGTTAGCTCTTCAACTAACCATACATTCGATTGCATATTAACTTTTCCACTAACCATACAATCTTTAGCGTGCGAGATGTTACATAATCTAAGAAGACATAACATTAAGGAGGGAAGACATATCTGAACCTCCTTAAATTCTATTAAATTTCTACAATTTGTCACAATCTGACTAAGAGTTAGTTGAGTGTGGAATTACGTTTATTGTTACGATTTTAGTTGGTATTTTCAAGTTAAGTTTTAGGTAACAAATCACTTAAATCATTTCATGAACTCATTGTGTGTAAAGAACCAATAAGCCAAAAAGTTAAGTTATTAAGTGAAGATCCATCAATGGTTTTATATTATATATATCTAACACATCCTCACACACAAGAGCACTTTGGACTTGAAGCTTGGATATCGCACATGCCAAAAAAAAATTGTTCTACCTTGAGCTTTTAAGTGAAATGGTTGTTTTACATGGTCCACGACCATAAGATCACGAGTTCAATCTCATCTCCCTCCACCTTCTAGTGGAATTCATGTAAAGAATCAAATTCAATCCAAAAACTTAAGCTACTAAGTAAAGACTCATCAATGATTTTTATATTATATCTATCTAACATTGTGAAATGCAACCGAATAAACAATATCCCTTTCTCTATCTCTATATTACTTGTGACCATGTATACTTGCATCCGTGATCTCGACCATAATTATATATTCACTTGAAAATCAAAAAAGTATTAAGATGGAAAGAATATAAAAAATCAATAAGTATGTACTAAAACACAATTGTTTCATTTAAAATAACACAAAATTATATCCTTTAAAATCATAAACTTTTTCCCCTTATTTTTATTGACAAAAAAATTCGAGTACAAAATAGAAGATAGTAATAAATGCAAAATAAACAAACAAATTACAGGAAATTTTTTTTTGGATAAATTAAGCACATTTAAAATTGTTTAAATACTCAAATTATATTTAATTTTAATAATCGGACAAAATTGGGGGTTTAACTTTTAATAAAAATTTGTATCTTCCATCCCGAGTATGGAACTTTTTAAACGATTTTGTTACTTCTCTTATGAGTCCATTCTCTCTGTCTATCATTTTTATCCCTACATCCCATTTATCACTCTTCCACATTTTTTTTCCTCACCTGTACCTCTGTACAAGTCGCGGACTCAAACAATTACAAAATAATTTAAAAATATAAGTTAAAAATTACAAAAGATACTATCATATTCCCTTTTGAAAGGAGGTAAGCCCCATAAATTAACCATTGTCAACAATCGTCAGTTATTTAAAACTTGGGAGTCATGTTCATTACTCAAGTTCATTAATACATGAAAAAACTTTACCCGTGCACCTACACTGCAATGTCACCATAATTATTTATTAAATAAAGGAATAAGATCTTTTTATCTACTTTTCTCTAGTACCATTAAATCACAATCTCAACCAAAAGTCGAACAAGATAAAAAAAAGATAAAGGTCATTGAGAATGTGATATATGCCTATTGAAAAGAAGTAGGCAAAATATGCATGAAAAAAATAAATAAACGATGTATCTCATTCTTCATGTAAAGTACACCCATTGTCATTGTAGAATGTGCACACTACGCAGCACTACTGTTGCACCATTTTAAGTTGAAATCACCTCAAGTTGACAAAGATTAAATGCAATTTCATCTCACAAAAATGCATGCACCTATAAAATAACTGAATTGGCAAAAGATATTCATACCACATATTAAAATCATATGCGCCAAATTAAAGCATGGAGATAAATATAGAGACAGCATTCTTGGCTACATTGTTCGTTTCATCCAAAGCAATTTGCTTTGGAATTCAAGATAACAAAGAGAAATCACCAATCTTAGATAATGGAAATGGTGAAAGGCATAATTAATACCCATATTCAAAGTGACATACTAGCAATAGAAACGTAGGAATTGTAGAAATCAACCCATCTAGTCAAGAAAACATTTAGGTGGGGTTGATCTCAACAAAAAAAGTCTAAATTACATAAACTACAATAGTAAGTTATGAAGCACCTTTAAAAATATAGGTTAATTAGCTGCTTCTCAGCATCTCCAAGTTGAAACTGAGATGAGTTCTTTCCTCTGCCAGCATAGAACAAGAGAGGAGTGCTTTCTCTCCAATTGAAATCCCCGCACAGGTGCCCTCTGCACTAAACACTCAGCTTGAGCTTCTGTGAAGTTACTAAATGTGGATGGAGAGAACCCATATTGAAGAAACATGTTCCTCCAAGGAGGTAATTTTTCCTGTGAATGGTGGTGACCCAATATAATTTTCTTAATGGCTGGCTGAACAACATGCCTCTCAATCTTTTGGAGGACATCTAGGTTCACATTCACAGCATCCAATGATTCAAGTAAGGCTGAGTAACATTGAAGAGCATGGACAACATTGGTGGAGAATGGTACATCAATTCGATCACAATTTCTATCCAAAGTGACCACCACTTTTGGCCTAAGCTGCTTTATAAAGCGAAGGACTGAAGGAAACAGTGATGGATAATTTGTGAAACAAGAAACTGGCATATTCACTGCAATTGCCTCATTATCAAAGAACTGACCACAAGAAGGAGAGTTCAATGATTCAATGCTCAAAACATTGAGCTCAAACGACATGTTGATCTCTTTCGCGTATTGATTCAAATTTTCTTGTGTAACATTGAGCTCAACCTCATCAAAAGTGGAGGGTGATACAACAGCAGTAACTTTAAGTGAAGGTGCACCACTATTTCTCAAGGCGAGCTCTTGCATAAAAGAAGACCATTGCACTCCAAACCCGATATCAAAATCAATAATGTGAATTCGATCAAACCTTTCCACAGCTTCAATGATGGCTTGATTACAAGTAAAATTGGCAAACTGAAGAACAGGTGATATCTCAGAAAATGATTTATAAGCTCCAATTTTGAATATGAAACTAAGTGGTGAGAAAGCTTTGAAATTGTGAATGTTTGAATGAAGCAATAACTGCAAGGCCTCCTTCATGTAAAAAGCAGCCCTCTGAAAAGGCTTACCAGTAGGGGAGAGCTGGTGATTGAGCCGCGCCAATATCCCTTGCGCTTGAACCGGATTACCAGCTTCTATCAGCTCAGCAGTTTTGTATAGCTGATCAAAGATATTCTGCTGAAGCTGGTGGTTTGCATCATCTCCGGTGGAACTCACCTTCTGCTGTTTTGATGATGGCAAAACCAATGATTGCTGTTGTTGCAGATGATGAGGAAACAATGGAAGCTGTGTTTGCTGCCTCCTACCAAATAGCTCTTGCCCTGAATCCAAAAGGGGTAACCTTGGAACCTGATAATTGTGCCCAATTGTGTCACAAGGAGGGCGTTTTGCTTGTTGCTGAGAGAAAGCTTGCTGTTCTTGCATTTGAGGGTAATTCAATGGCACAAAGAAAGAAGGGTTCTCTGAGAATTGAACTTGATTCTGGTTTAACATAAACTGAGGATTGATAACTTGAGGTTTCTCATCTACTTCACCAATCACTTGCTGCTGCTGCTGCTGCTGATGATGATGATGATGATGATGATGAGAATTAAACACACCCGGGGATGTTGACATCAACAAAGGATTGTTATTGTTACCAGAAGCAGGAAAAAATGATTCTGAAACCGAGATAGAACCAGTCTTTGCATTGTGGCTATCTATATTTTCAGCAATGAAAGGGAAACCAGGGTAATTCCCAGGCACAGAAGGGTCAATAATACTTACCAGATTCAACCCTTGATCCAAACCACCAAAACCTCCATTGAAATCAATATTTTGAGAACCGCAGCCACTGCTCTGGAAGAGTTTGCTCAATCCTGCAGATGGGTCTTCAACATCACCCATGATTAATCTCAGAATAGATTGATCTTGACCCTCCCATTCCTCCATTCTCATACCACATTTATCTGTGGGGGTTTCCAAGGCTTCATGAGGTGGGTTCTCAGAAACAGTTGGGGCTGCACAAGTGGTGTTATTGGCTGAACCACCACCACCACCACCCTTGCCGGTGCTATTGCTGCCAAGAGAAGAGGACATGGTGGAGGATGAAGTAGAAGGGTTTGGGCTTCTTCTAGAGTCAAGAACAGAGGTGGGCTCAGTGCCCACATAGCAATACTCTTTGTCTCTTGTCCACTTTTGTTGTTGATGCAAAAGCAGTGATATTGAATCTGATGCAGAAGAAAAATCCAACACTCCCTTCCCTTGAAATTCCTCAAAAGGAAAGGGCATGGCCTTCATCTAAGAAAGTTAACAAGAAGAAGAACAATAAGAGACTGCCCACAAACCCAACCACCCAAAAAAGACTCCAGTTTTTCAAAAGTTAGCACCTTTTGTTCCTCCCACACTTAACCCAGAACCGATTTGAAAGCAGGAATCAAGACAAAATGGTTTTTTTTTTTTTTTTTGTTGGGTTTACAAATCCAGAAACAAGGCTTGGAAATTAAGTAAATTCAGATGCTAAAACGAAAAAAGATGAGGTTTTGGATTGGAAGAAAGCTCTGAATTTTGATGGGATATTCAAAATTGTTGATGAACACTAAGAACATACTTGAACTCCTATAAAGCATGTCTTTTTGTTTCTGGATCTGTGGGTTGTTATGCCCCAAATAGTTGCAGTAAAGGAAGAGAGCCATGAATATGAATGAATCTTTGGTGGGTTTTTAAAGCTTGTTCTTTTTTTTCTGGATCTGTGGCTTATTAAGCTCCAAATAGTTGAAGTAAAAGAAGAAAGCCATGAATGTGATTCTTTGTTGCTTGTGTTTTCTGTGTGTAACACTCTTTGTTACTTGTGTTTTCTGGGATGGTGTGCTTTTTCTCTCTCTCTCTCTCTCCCTCTCACTGTTTCTACTTTTAAAAAATATATTATATTGTGCAGCTTGTCTGCATGGTAGTTTTACCTCTGGTTGGTAAGGTTGCTTTCACCTCATTGCGTTTCCCCATTCTCAGACGGAGCGCGTGGGGTTCCCGACATTATGATATTTCCAGCCTTTCGACCTTGTAATGAAAATAAATAAATAACAAAAGAGATATATTGGTTCAAGTCATTTAAACAAAGGGTTTTATTAGTTTAATGTAACATAATGTAAGTGTTGTTTCTAACTTTCACATTAAAAGGGAGAGAGAAAGTGGAATGATAAAAGAGAAAGAAAAATATGTAGACCCCACCTCTTTAATGTGTGGGTAGGAAGGTAAAGTTATATTATGTTAAATGATAAATATAAAACCCTTAAACAAATTGTTGAACTATATCATGTATTGCATTCAGCAAGACACGCTTAGGGGTCTGTACGAAATATGCACTATAAAGATGATGCGCCATTAAGTTTGTCAAGAAAATTATATAGATGATATATTTATTTATTTTTCATGAAAATGTGGATATTTTTCTTCTGATTCTGATGTCAACAGGATAGCAGGGGTGTCTATTTATTTATGGAAAAAGTATATATCATTTTGAAGGATATAAATTTGTGTCATTTTAAGTGAGAAAAAGAGATAAATCATAGGAAAGAAAATAGGTGATACAAGTTTTAAAGGTATGGGTCTCATTTCTTTGTGAGAGTGAAAGAATATAAGATGTGTCATTTAAAATGACACACATTTTTCCCTTTATTTATTAAGGATTTAAAAAATAAAAATTGTTATTTTTTTTTTAATTTTGACTACTATGTAACCATGTGGTCAAGAGAACTTTTAACTAATCCAAATGACATATGGTACTTTGAAGTGGTGAATTCCATTTACGTCTAGACAAATAATTAGATTAGGATGAAATTTATTTTATATTTAAATAAAATCTAAATTTAAAAATATAAAAAATAAAAAATTCACGTCATTATGAAATGATAGCAGAACTTTTTTCTTTCCTCATTCAGCTTGGTCCTCCGCTTCAATTCGGCTAGATGAGCCATGCAAAGCGCTATAAAGCACTTGATATTTTTGTGATTATGAATAAGGGAAAAATTCATAAATTTTATGTGGTTTACTTTTTTATTATTTATATTCATATATATATTTTTTATCAAATTATAATTTTTTTCATCTAAATCCATATTTAAAATCATTAGTAATTAAAATTAATTTGTTTATTTGACTTTTATTTTATGTTTTGAGTTTTATTTATCAAAAGTAAAATCTGACTCTAAAAATAAAAAAGGTGGCAAAATCTACTTGATTATGACTAGAAAAAACATGTAACAAATGGGAGAACAATAATTGTTAGAAAGGGGGACTCGAAAAAATTTCGGATGGGGCAATTTATAGTTAGATGTGACAAAACAAGAAAATCACATTAACTACAAAAAAAATAAAAATCAAAGAGCATTGGCTCCAAAATCAATATGCAAATTAAGGCCTCTTTTATCTTTTTCCTCTTATCTATATAATTTAATATTAATATTATATTATGAGAAGCGATTCCTATACCCCATATTTTTTATGTCATTTCTTATACTTTTTAATATTCAAAAAAAAAATGTTGAAATATATATATATATATATATATATATATATATATATTTATATATATGGATTTTATAAGAGTTATGTTGTAGGAAAAGTGATTGTGTAATGTTATAGAGATTCGTTTTGCGTGTCATAGTTTTCTTTTCTTTTTCTTCAAAAAGTGTAGGCCTCACAAAATGTGTGTGTAAGAAACTTTGTTGTGTCATGTTAAATGACAAATGCAAACTCATATATATATATATATATATATATATATATATATATATATATATATATATATTCTAAAAATGTAGTATAAAATTATAAGAAAATTATATAAGTGGTGCATAAATAAAATTGTTATGATAACATTAAAAAAAAATAAAACAGTAGCTGCTTGTTTAACAACGGGGGATTGGTCCGAGAATAATAAAAGAAAAATTCATTTGTTTAAAAGTGATTACATTCAAAATTTTGAATGTTAACTTTTTCTGTGATTTTTTTTTTGTAGGAATGTTATGCTTATTTTGTAAAAACTTTGAAAGGGACAAGACACATTATTGTTCTTCATGTCTTTATAGTAAACCTAAACTTCGCTTATTTATTACTGGTGCCCAATATTTTTATATCAGGTCAGTGAACAAATAAAATAGGGATAAAATGGACAAATTAGTTTAATTACTAATGATGTTAAAGATGGATTTGAATGGAATAAAAACACAAGAAACAGTGTTGTTTACAAAACAAAACAAAAATACAAGGAATAATTGATAAGAAAAAAAAATATAGGAATATAAGTGATAAAAGAATAAATCACAATGTGATTTATAAACTTTTCCCTATGAATAATGAAGTTATATTGTATATAAAAATTTCATGAATATTTTATTATATATTTTATAAACTTTTCCCTATGAATAATGAAGTTGTATTGTATATAAAAATTTTATGAATATTTTATTATATATTTTTGAAATAAATTATTAAAAAATTAAAAGTATTATCATATTATTAATTTTTTTACTTACGGTTGCAAGAAAACATATTAATTTATTTCTATTTATATTATAAAATATTCAATGCAATAATGGTTAATCAACATAAACATCTAATAATACTTTTATCCTAAATTAGTTAGAATAGGCGATGATGAATCCAAATAAAGTGAGAAAAGATTCATTCACAGAAAAAGAGAGAGAAAAGATTGATAGAAAAGAAAAAAATAAATGAACAAAAATACATAAATAAATATTAAAATGACTATAAGGGTTCGTTTGGCAGAGCAATAAATTTTATATTTTCATAAAACTCACATTTGGAATCCTAGTTATCTATGTTCAGTACAAAGATTCTTAAAATTTTCGTGGAAAAACAAGATTCCTGGAAATTAAAATTGTCAATAAGAATTCCATGAAATAATATCATCAGGTAGGTGATATTCTTAGATTCTCACATTGTGGAAATTTTTTACATAATTTATAAGACATTAGTAAAACCTACTTTAATCTTTCTATGACTAAAATACTCTCTCTTGTTAAAGCCCTTGTTTACTTTACTTCACAAAATCGTGGGTTCCTCTCTTCCCTTTCACAATGCTTTTTTACTGAGTTCCTCTCTACTTCACACAATTTTGCTCCAGTGACCCCCAACGCCGCATTTTGACCCTTTTGTGGCATATTATATTTTAAAAAAAAATTCATCAAAGGTTAGTTTTATAAAATCAGTCCACATTTTCAGGAACCATCGATAATTAACCAAATATAGAATTAGGAAATTTGAGCCGACATTTCTGAAAATATTGTAGCTTACCGAATAATTTGTTGGTAACATTCCTGAAAAATTCACTTTCTCAGCATATTTCTAGAAATTCTAATTTCCAAGAACAAAAAAAAAAAATTCATCTACCAAATGTCCCTGATCATATGAAATATAGGAACTAATGGATTTATTCATCCACAATGCTATAGTTTTTCTCTACTTCATCAAAAGGCAGATTGTATGCTAATTTAATCTCTTTCTCTTTTTATATGATATTTTTGTAATAAATTTTTGTTCTAACGGAATCATTTATCTTTGACTAATATGTTCAAATTATTTCAATTTATATCCTCTCATCTTTTGAGTCATCGGTAAAATTTATATTTTTTTATCAAATATATCTACTTCTTATTAGGGATGGCAAAAATGAGCCAACCCGTCGGGTTGGCTCGTAACCCGCAAAAAACGAGCCGGGTTGGGTTGGAAAAAATGAGCTGCCAACCCGAACCAGCCCGACCCGAGCCAACTCGAGCTCAAACGAGCCAGCTCGCGGGTCACTCTTTTTTTAAAAAATAAAATAAAAAATAAAATACAACAAAAAAGTCACGCTCACGCACGCCTGAGATCACACATTCACACTCACTCACAACAGTCACAAACTCACCAGTGACCAGTCACCCCAGGTCCCCCACTCCACCCTCACCACCGGCGCAGCGACGACATCGCGGGTTCTCTCTTCCACCGGTTTCGTTCCTCCTCTGTAACACACACCGATTCTTGGCAACACACACAGGGTCAGATTTGAAGGGTTTTTTTTTTCCTTTCTTCTTGTTTTACTGATTTTGTTAATTTTTTTTCCCTTTTTCAGATCTTGGCAACATACGCCAGTTTGGTTTCAGGTGTGTGATTCAGCAGCCACCGTGCTCCTCCCTCCTAGGATTCCGACCACCACCAACTTTACCCGCTGCTCTATTTTGCCTTGTCTCCCTCCTAGTTGTGGCTTTTCTTTACCATCTTCCTAGTTGTTTCAGGTGTGTGCCTTCATCTTTCTCAACATTTTGTTTTTCCCCAATGCATCCTAGATTCCTAGTTGTGGCTTTTCTTTACCATCTTCCCTTTGACTGTTCTTAAAATGAAAGATCTCGATTTCTTCCTGTGTGTTAGCAATATTTTCCTCCCTTCTTAGGTTACATATATTTGACTAGGTTCTGTCATCACATAGTTTGATTTGTGAATTGTGATGATTGTTGTCGCAATTGACTGTAGTTTTGTGTTTGTTTTTTAGTTTTGCAAAAATGGGATTTTGTTTTCTTGTTCAATTGGTGTTGAACTCCAGGATATTTGTCACTAATAATTTTTTTTGGTTTTAATCTTTTGGTCTGACGCCTTACAATTCGATGTATGGACTTTATATGAATGGTTTTTGGGTTAGAGGCGAACTTGGTTGGTTTCCCTTCAATCTAAAACTGTTAGATGTTAACTAACAAATCCATTTAGATTTCTCCTACATTTGCTAACTGATAGATCCATAGAATGATTGGTTTGTGGCATACTTGTGCATTGTTTTACCATAGGGTGCATTGTTGGGGATAAGTAAGTAATAGACATGTTTGCTGACTTTGCTCC